TAAATGTATATATTTTATTCTAAGCAATCAAGAATGGTCTTCAACTGTTGAAAGCACTTGAATTTTCAATTGTTCTCTATTGGCATTTGCACGAGTTTAGGTTAATTCACACCTTCCCTTTAGCTTCAGTTTGCAGTCTGTCGCTGTCTCTGTTTCTCTGGTTCCTGCCAAAAGCTGTCGACAAACTTAATGACCTGAAAACTTTTCGATAATGTGTGTGTGGGTGTTTGTGTGTGTGTGTAGAAGTGTGTGCGCCTCGTCGCACTTCACACAAAAAAAAGCACAAAAAAGTAAATAGAAGCTAATTTCCAGGAAGGCGATTAGAAAGCGACCAATTTCACTGTGGCAGCAAAAACAAAAGGATTTCCGCTGCCTAAACATTTAACAAAAAAGACGCCAGCGATAAGAGTTAACATATAGTAAATTTCAAATGGGGATTATGCATTTAGCAAACTCAGAGGCTGCTTAAAGTAAATGTAAATTATCAAAAATAGTTAGGATATGGGCTAGAGCAACTAAGACACTTAAGACTTTAGCGACGTATTGGTTTAAAAATTTAATTTAATTAAAAAATGTCTTTTGTGTGAGCTGAAATTTATGACGCATAAAATTTTGAATAAAATAAGGTAAATAAATTAAATTAATTCAAATTAAAACTATATACTCTATTCAAGCTTTACATGCATATTTAATTACTCTAATAAACATATTATATTAAAAAGACTCTGTATTTAAATAACTTAATAAGTTTCAAATCAAGAGTAATGTATATCAAATAAAACTTGCTTAGAATTGATATAAAATAAGAAATTTATAAATATATTAAACATTTATTTATCTATCAAATATCTAAATATTATAAAGATAAATCTCATCATCCAATAATGTTTTTAAAATATATTAATAAAATTTATTTTATATACATTTTTAGATATTTTCAATTTTTATATTAATTTTTTTTTGATTTTCTCCTTTTATATCTTCATATTTTGAAATTTTTTTATTTTAATATAATTTTTTTAAATTTTTATTTCTATATTTTTATATTGTTATATTCCTTCTTCTTATTTTTTATTTCTTCTTTTCTATTTTTTATTTTTCTTAATTTTAATATGTTTTCATCTATTTTAACTCAATTGAAAACTTTAGTTGTTATTTGTATAAGCTATAAAAATATATTTTTGCTGTGCCATTTCAAGTTTCATTCTGTCTCTGCAGAACACACTCAAAATGATTTCACAGTTGTTTTTCTGTTACCCCATTGTAGCCCTGCTGCTGTCCAGCAATTTGGCCAACCAAGTGAAAGCCACGTGACTAACATAAGCAAATACAGTTATAGCCAAGGCAATAGCCACAGCTCGAGTGCTCGAGAGATGTTTTGTTTGGCAAAAATCAAGATGTGTGCAGCATCCAGCAGAAAAAAAAAGAACACCCCTTTAGCTGCAGCCCAGTTAAGAGCGGGACAAAGCGTTGCCAACAAACGTTGTGGCTGTTACTCAAGCCCAAAAGAATTTCGACTCGTATGTTTATCTTTGGCGTGGCCTTTGTCTAGCTGAAGTGGCGCTGTGTAAGTGTGAGTGTGTGTGTGTGTGTTTTGATCCTTTTTGCGCTGTTTTTGGGCTATAAATAAACGTTTAGCTGGTGCGGAAGTACGGCGACAGCAACAGCGCAGCAGTCTGCAATACAGGCTGACCTAAGGGGGCAGAGGTGAGGGTGAGGCAGCAGGTGTGTGGCAGGGGCACGCTTGTTTGTCTAGCGGCAGCACGTGCTGCTGCGGGCTGCGGTCGACACAAGTGTGTGCGTGTGCGTGTGTAACAATTTTTGCACAGCTCGCCTGTTAACTAACGCCCATTAATAGCCACATAATCGAGGCTCAATTAACACTGTGAGCCCCCTGTAAGCTCGCCCCCAACATTGTGGCTTTTATTTAACATGCATTTATTAGAAATTTATTAGCGCATTGCAAATTTTTACAGTGCACATTTTATGAAATTGCATAAAAATTTTATACTGGCGCCACTCGATTTCATAACTCACACAAAGTATTTACACGAGGTGAAGAGTCGAAGTCAACCTCCTCACTTACACTGATTGGCATCGGATGCTGCATTGCGAACCTGTTGACCATTTGCATTTCATTAAGTTTTCGGTTGCTCCTTTGTAAGTTTTTGCGTTCATTTTACTGCCTCATTTAAATTCTAATTTTATGTTTGCGTTTATGCTTTTGTCGAAAGGCAAACACACACTCACACACATGCATTGCTCTATAAAGTTCATCTATCTATTTTTATATCTATTTCGCTGCGGATTTTCCGCTATGCATATTCGAGTATATTCATAATTGTCAAAGACAAAAACTACTTAAGATTGTCATTGAGATAGAGCTTTGAGGCTTTTGCTAAACTCATATGTTTGTGTGCCAAATGCACAAGTAATCTGATGTACTTGCTCTGGTACTTGCTTTTAGGTAGGTAATGTCTCTGTTTATTAACTTTTAATGGTCGCAAAAATAGCTTGGCAGACAATTTGTTTATTATATTATATTAACTTTAATGTAATAGATTTTTTATTGCAATAGGTAAACAAGGTTATAAGGCTGTAGAAAATAGTTACAATATGAAATACTGATGTGCTGTATTGTATCTTAATTTATAGAACTACTTTTATTTTAACTGCAATATAAAATTAAAAAAAAAACTTATGATTTCGAAGTTAAAAGTAATAAAAAAATCCATACATTTAAAATAAAAAATATTAATATAAAAGAAGCTTAAAAAATAATATCTAAAAATCAAAAAGTGTAAATAAATAATTATCCAAAGATTTTGAAGCTAAAAGTGTAAAATCTGATATGTAAAATATATAAAAATAAATAATATCTAAATTTAAAATTTGTAATCTAAAATCTTTTAATTGCTGTTTTTATTTGCAATCTGTCTTATACTAGACAATAAACAAATTTTGTAACTATAATAATTTGAAAGATTAAACATCTATTGAATTTTTAATAAAAAAGTAAAAACTTTTGTGGCACATGTTAAAAACTTTGACCATTCCATTTATTTACAATGTAAAAATAATAAAGTGTATAAATATAAAAGTTCTTAAGAGCTAAACGTGTCTTAATTGTTTATCGTTTGGTTTATTGCAACATTATTTAAAGACTCTGGCCATTCGCTTGCGTTAAAAAGAAATCCAATTCGCTCCCCCTGGCCGACAGATGGTGTCATAAATCTTCTATGCCCAGCGAAAGATTTTTGCGCGGGTAAAAAAGTGAGCTGCACATGTGAATAGGAAAATTCTGAAAATTTAGCTTTTCTTTGCGTATTTGAACGAAAAGAGGAAAATGTTGAAAGCAGAGAGCGAAGAGAGCAGAACGCAGCATGAGAACCGAACATGCAGCAGAGCACGACGCGACGCGACGCTACGCGGCAGCGGCCGAAGCCAGACGATGGTCAAACGAGTTGCAGGTGCGGTGGTAGGGGGCAAATACGCTTGGAGCGCAGCCAGTTGGAATTGCACGCGACAAAGGCGCAGCATGAATATGGGGCTGGCGGGAGGGGCAGGCGATACGGTGTCTGTGGTAGGCGGCGACGATGACGACACAAAAAGGCAGCAGCGACGACAACGACAACGACAACGTCGACAACAGCAACGACTGCTGCCGGCTGAGGGCTGCTGCCGCTGCTGCCTGGCTGACTGCGAGCAGTCGTCAGTCAGTTGGCCAAGAAACTGGTAGCGTCGGTGTTGTGAGCCAACAAAAGGCTGGCAGCTGGCAGCTGGGCAGCTGGCACAGTCACCGGCTCTGCCACTGCCACGAATGCTGTGTGTGTTTGTTGGCCATAGGGCACGGGGCAGCACTTTGGATTGGCTTTGGCTTTGACTTTTGAGCGACGCGTAGCCAGCCAAGAAAAGTGGCCAGCCAACCAGTCAGTCAGCCAGCCAGCCAGCGAGCTAGCCAGCCAGCCAGCCAGCCAGCCAACAACAGCAATTACTGGCCAAGAGGTGGTGATGGTAAAGGTCCAAGATGATGAGAACGCGCCAAAAGCCGTTGCCAAAGCAGCGCAGGATGACAGTGAAGGAATATATTTTTTGGCCGCAAACGCAGTTTGATTAGCCAAGTCAAACAGTGGTTTGACCCTGGCCAAGATCGCCGCAATGGACGCCAATTGACAGCCAGGCACACACTCACACACACACACATACACATGGATTGGTACAGTGGTGCAGTGGAGCAGCAGCAACAAGAGCAGCAGCCGCTTCGCAGGATGCGTTCGTCTCGATTATACAGCTAATAAAAACAAACAATAACAACAACAAAAACAAATAAAAAACGTGTCGCGCCGCAACAACAACAACAAATCGCGCTGTGCTATATATGTGTGTGTGTGTGTGCGTGTGTGTGAACCTTTTGAGCTGACCAACGTGCGCCGTCAACTTTGTGGCCAGTGCCAAAAATCGAGGTGCGCCAATGGAGCAACTGGCGTGAAGCCCAAAAAAAGAATGCAGAACCAGCAGCACCAGCAGCAGCAACAATTGCTGCTGCAGCAACAGCAACAACATCAAGCCTTGTTTTAGCTGGCCGCTAATGATTTGCAATGCCCGCAATGAATATTGGCGTAAAGCAAACGCGTGCGAAACCTCAAAGGATGCGCATCACGCGCAGAGGTAGCTACGAATATCAAGCATACGCAGCGTGCAACACAACTCAAAATATATATATTATTCAATATGAAAATACATAAAACTTAACTCAACTTATTAGTAGTGTCTAGTGCTTAAATATCTAAACAATATTTCAATTATTCAACTCTAAAAAAAATAAATAATAAACAAACAAAAATATAGTAGCAAACGTAGTCTTGAATAATTATATGCCAATTATATAATCGATTACAAGCAACTATGATATAATCCAAGACACTTATCTAAACTTTAGTGCAATATCTATATATAAATAATTGATCATATATATATATATATATATATATATATATATATATTCATACAGTTATTATTGGTACTAATTGGTAACTGATAGCACTCGTAGACAATTGAAAAACCAAGTTAATATAAATATTATAATGGAACAACTTAGCTGCGTGGGTTTTGTGCATCGTTGCGAAAGGATTCGTTCATAGTTGGAGCGACAACAGCAGAAGCATTAGCAGGAGAATAACTGAGCTGTTAACAGAGGGCAGAAATGGTGAGTATTAGGGGAGAGGGAAACGGGTATTATTTGAGGGGCTTATATGCATACAATTTTCAAGTGAATATTTGGTTATTTATGTAGTTATTTGATGTATATATATTCGGTATATAATATGTCTTAGCTGCTCACAATAAAGTGATATTTATATGACGTAAATTTAAGATTAAGTACCTTATACAAGAAGTGCATTTCATATAAATCTACTAAGGTAGCCAAACTATACCCTTAAATATCGTTCATTCATATAAACGGCTCTCAATTGATTCCTCTTTTAACTTTGATAAAACTTAAAAAAAATACTTGTTGAGGTTAGCCATGCATTTTGCTGCCTGTTACATATATTTGTATATATATTTTAAAATATTTTTTGATTTTAAATCTTGAATAAACATTTTTTCCCATACTTTGTCATATTTTCTATATGAAACAACAATAAATTATCAATTTCATTTTTTTTTTCTGCTCTAAACATAAATTTATCTTAGGTAGTTGTTTAAAAAATATATTATATTATAAAAATATATTATAATATATATTTTAGAAAAGCTACAGACTTAACTATTAATATTGTAGTTAAACTTTCTTCGTTTTTACTTAAGCTAGACCATTTTTTTCATAGAATTTATGTATCAGATCATTTTTTTGAATAACTACAGAAAGTAATTATAAAATTGAGGAAGTCAATAAAAAATTTCAATTTAATTAATAATAATACTTACTATTAATGTAATTTATTGAAATTGTAAAAAACATTTATCTTAAAGTAAAAAAACTGGTTAAACTTAAGCTATTAAAAACCTATCATATCGGCACTATCTTAATGCTCGCAGCTGTCACCACAAGAAGATCAGCCCACAAATGTGCCGCTTGTACCACTTCATCCCCACCCTCACCCTCCACTCGCATCTAAGCCAAGTTGGCAAAGGCAAAAGCCAACAGTCTGGCGCCACATAAATAAGCAAAATGCAGCACAAAATGACATGTTAAATGCGTCATATGGTGAGAGGGGGCAATCAGTTGGGGTAGGCGTAAGAGTTACGTTTAAGACATACAATTTATAGGCTCTGCAAAAATGCCAAAGCATACAGCACGCCCCCCAACCAAACACCGTCCTCATTCACCCTCAAGGCCGCAACTTGTATTTATTAGGGGTTCATAACTAGAGAGCATTAGACACAGATTTCACCCTTGCCCAACAGCAGCTACACTTATTCGATCTGGTGCTGGTTCAATGCACAGACGCCGCCACAGAGTGCACAGACATAAAAATATTATATATGGTCCAGAACCCGAACAAGTGCCTCCCAAAAGTGCCGAAATTGTAACCCTAAGCCAAATGAGACTTCACGTGAAAGTCATTAATTTATGGTCAGTGTTCAACAAAGGAAACATCTAAAGAGTAAATCAAATGCAGACCAATTAATATTTTTAAATACTCGAACATGCGCTTGTTTTTCAATTTTTAATGTTTTAATTTATGAGCGCAACTGCGGATCACTTTCAATTAGAATCATAGTGAAAAGCGTGTGCATGTCTCAGATACCCTGTAAATATAGTAAATGAGTCGTTTGTATGTTCGTAACAATGCTGAAGATATTGAAGGCGTTTGTGTTAAGAGGGTATAATAAGAGTAAGCTATCGATTGTATTGTTGGAAATGTTATCGAAACATATTTGCCGATATTATCGAAATGATCGTCGATAGCTTTCTTAAAATATAACTATCTTAAAATATATAATATAGAACGAAGAAAAAAATATAAATTAGGAATTTTCTAAAATGCATAAAAATCGATCAACATCGTTAGAAAAACATCCAGAAATCGATTTGTGACTAGAATGTAAGGAAATATGAAGTGACCTAACAAGTGTGATAGATAGATTTATTTGAGCAGTTTCTTAAGTTATTGCCTGATTGCAAAGTTGTGAACATTACAAGGCATCTGCTCGTCGAGCATGCTTCATCTTCATGCCCATTCTGCTGTCTAGAAATTTCCGAGCCATTAAAGCAATTAACAACAGCGGACTGCACTCAGTAAATTAGCTCAAAGGAGCTGCTGGGACTAAAAGTTCCTCAAAACTAACACGAAATTTAATTGTGCGCGCGGTATGCAAAAAGGACATCGGCAGGACATGCGGCGGGCTGGAGCTTGGGCAGCTCGTTTCTTAATGCTTGCGCATTAATTTTCGATTTTTTTCACATTTTTTGTTGTTTTTTTTGGCAATAGTTGAACGTATTTTTTTGTTAGCAGTTGGCATTCGCTGAAAAGGAATTTGTTGACACCAACAATGTTTCGGACATCCTGGCAAATAATTCTTGGCCCGGTCTGCTCCACGCAGCTCAACCCCCACGCTTGGACGGAAATTGGCAACTAAGCCAAGCAGCGAGCGCATTGTGTCCTTTCCTCTTGACTGCCTGCATATGTTTGCCTTGCAGTCTTCGGCTAACAAACAATGGCTGCTGGTCAGCCCCGGCTGGAGTTCACACTTCCTTTTGCCAGTTCTTATCATTCGGGGCAAAAAAGAAGCAGAGATTCTGGCCCGTTTGCATTTGAGCACGTTTCAATGAACGGCCCAAAGATTTATGGCCCGCATTGATTTTATTGATGGCACCCGGTCGCATTTTTAAATAAATCGAAGGCAGCGCGCGACGACAAGCAATTAAAACTAATTGAATCGCCCAAAAAAAAAAAATACCTCAAGGAACATGCAATGTGACAAATAGTTGCAAATAAACGACTCGCCTGAGAATGGCCATTTAGACACAACTAAAGCGCATTTCATGTTTATGGTTCGTCGGCGTGTTAAATGTAAATTTTTGCCAAATCTGTGAACGGGCTGAAAAGATTTTAGGGAATAAGCTAAGCTCAAGGCATATAAGCTTTGTATAAATATATTTAGGAAAAGTAAATAGCTATGGAAAGAGTTGGTGAAATCTCTCTATTTGAAAATCAAAATAACTAAAGATGGTTATGGATAGAAGATAGATTAGAGAAGCTTATAGCTTAAATTACAGCTTAAATAGTAATATAGATGAAGATGACTGACATGAAAACAAAATTAACTTTTAACTAACAAATCTGACTTTGCATAGAGCTTTCATTCCATTCTATTCCAAAGCCAATTGAAACGAATCTGTCTTCGCTGCATCTTTATAATCAAACTTTGCATCGAACAACAATATACCCATTTCTTTCAAATTCATAAATACTTAAAGCTTCTCATTGCTTTTGACTGATATTCAATTGCCGTTGCCCCAGCATCATCGAAGCCAGCAAGTGCCATTCGCATTGTCTGTAGAAATTATGTTTTGGGTGCAGAAGTCAGTTGCCATAATTTTCGTTGGCGTAGACATGGCAAATAAAACAAACAAACAAATAAATCGCCAAATTATTATTTGGTCCTATGCCTCCTGTCTACTGTCTCCCGGCTTCAGCCGGCAGCCTTCAGCTGCCACCCAAAATAATTTTTATGCGGCGCTTCAGCAAAACTTTGTCTGCTGCGCTGCCATTGTCCAGTCATAATGATTTACTCGATTTGCATATTTTTGCACTTAGAAAAATGCACAAACGATTTTTCATTTTCTTGAAAACTTATTAGTGCGGCGCGGCGAGCCTTTGATGACCAAAAAGGGAAGTTGACTTTGGCTTTCTATTTTTCAAAAATATTTTTTATTTTCCCTTCGTATAATGATGCCTGGCCACCTATTTGCTATGCATGGGTTTTGGTGGCTGCCATGGCGTATACATAGTTTGAGGCTAACATTGCGTATACGCCCTGGTGTCGCATTCGTCTAGCGCGCTCTGTCTGCAATTTGCAGCGCCTACAAGTCTGCTGCAGCAAATTTCTTGGTACAGCTCCAAGACATTCTCACTTCCTGCTCACGAATTTGGCACACATTGCCAACGACTGGAAGACAGCAACAAAACATAAACATAGACGCAACTGCGTCTGGCTGCCAACTTGGCAGTCGCAGCAACAGCAGCAGCAACGCATCCTGCGTGTGTATGTGTGGAATGCGAGAGGCTCGTGTCGAGTTGGCCGCTGGCCACTGTTGTTGGGCGGGAGGCGCCACTTGGCACTCTCATTATGATTTTAATTGCTGACACACACAAACAGCTTTTTGACGAGTTGCCCAGTTTGACAACGTCATCAGTTGTTGTTGTGCCTGATCGTTTATTGGCCAACAGCATTTGGCTTTGGCAACAGGTTTCCAATTATCATGATTATGATTATAAGTAGATATAAATATATACATATATATATATATATATATATATATGTAATGACGCTTTGATTGGCTCGACCTTGACCAAGAGAAAATTGTTGGCCATCGTCAACGACTTGTAAAATTTATTGGCCAATATTCAGGCAAATTTTATGTTTTGGCTCACTGTCCGCTGCTCGCCTTTTTGGCAGCAGTTAATATTTAAGTTTTGTTTGCCAATTTCCTCAGATTTTGCTATTTGTTAGTTGCGATTGTTGTTGTTGTTGTTTTTATTGTTGTTCGCATTTGTTTATTTGTTTTGATTGACATTCGCTTGCCTCAGTTGTTGACGCGTCGTCGTTGGCGAAAGTTGCCGTGCCGCTAAAATTCCCTTAGCTTAACTGGAGCTTACCGCTGGCCACTGGGGCACACACACACACAGCAGCTGGCACAACAAACAAAAATGTAAGCGCTTTTGCTAGGCAATTTTATTTTTGCTTTTGTTTTTCTTGTACGTCTTAAGTTTTAGTTTCGTACAAAAATGTCTGCAAAAACAAATTAAAAATAAGAAGATAATGCCTAAGTGCTCTGTGTGCATCTGCATTTATTGTATACTAATTAATACGATTAATCATATCCTAAGAAATGTCTAAAAATAGTTTTGTGCTCGCTGTAATTATATAAAAATACAATAGGGTTTTCGTGTTTGCTGTATGTTGTTAAATAAATATGATTTAGTTTTTTTTTATGTAAACAAATATTGTGTTTAATTTATAATATAAATTAAA